TTGATGGTCATTGTGAACGGGTATCAAAAAGTATGCATCTTTCAAGTCGATTGTGCACATATACACGTTTTTCTGCGTCACTTTAATAGCCGTTCGTAGTTCCTCCATTTTAAAATGCGGACATTCCACATATTCATTTAATTGTTTTGGATTTAAAATAAACCTTTTTCCACCGCTGGATTTATCTGCTAGGAAACATGGAGAGATAAATTGTTCGGGCCTTGACTCAGATTTGAGTATGGTTCCGGACCTTAACAAATCGTTTATAGCTAATCTTACTACCGATGTTTCTGTAGGGAAAAAATTATTTTTAACCAAGTGGTGACATGATGGAAGGTTGTCTTTAAAGGGAATCCTAAAACCTTGAACCCAGGATAAGACTGTCAAATTTGAAGTTAGTTTGGACCAAGAGTCCAAATAAAACTGTAAACGGCCAGCAAACGGAACTTGTTTTACCTTCAGCGTTTCCTGGTTTGCTGTTGTCTGTTCTGAGGAAACTGTTTCGAGGAATGGCCCTTGTATTGCCTCACCTCCCTCTTGCGGTAAGACGGACGATACCTGTTTAAAGGTCCTGCATTCTTGGACGAGCTGCCCCCCCCTCTTCTTTCGGAATGATTGAAGGCCCGCGCTAATTGAGAGCTAATGCGTGAGGGGTTAGAAGGCAAACGTAAGTCCTGTCCTGCCTTTTCCAAAGATTTCAAATTTTTTGCTCGTTCACCTAAATCTGGCCCAAACAAAAATTCACCAGGTATGGTATTTTCATTCAGTTCTTTAACTGATTTGTTAAGTACTGGGCTAATTAAATATTTCCTTGTTTTCGAAATATCGTGTAAAAGAGCAGCCAATATTCGTGCAGAATCTGTCAAAGACTTTTTCCTAACAAGACTCCTCAAGGAACTGGGAGAATTAACCTCCAAATCCCCGCTTATTAAATTTAACTAGGGCTATCAATTATGAACAATCATCGGGACGCGAATGCGTAACAAATAATTACTGGATTCGTATTTTGTTTGTGTCTAACAGTACATTTCACTCAGTTCGAGAAGCTGTTAAGAAAATGTATTGCCAGTTTTGTATAAAAAATGCACTTTATTTATTGGCGATTGTGCATATTTTGTGTGGGGGGGGGGTGCATGTTGTGCATATGTTCGTAAAATTGTGCATAATATGCACAATTGTGCATGTCGGAACATCCCCGGACCTTGAACGTCTACGGCTCGGCCGAGAACGAGAACGCCTAAAGTAATGGGGCGAATCGGCACGAGACCTCGGCCTGCAGCTTCTACCCTCAAGTTCCTGGTGTAAAATGTCTTTAGGGATGCTGGATTCGTCTTCCAAGATAACGTTGAGTGCTTTTCCCAGGGTGGTTAGTCCGTTACCAATGTGCATTTGGTACCCGGAGTGAGTGGAATCCCTAGTTAAATGTGTGGATGAAAGAATAGCTTTCACTTCGGGATTTACTTTTGGAGAACGTAATAAAGCGAAATTAGATGGCACATTTTGTTTTCCGCTAAGGATAGAAATATCTTCGGCGGATAGCCCGTTTGCCAAAATATGGGACCACCTGGAGGCTAGGGCACCGTGAAGTTTAAAACTAGACGTATTAGCCTTTTCAGAATCGGCACCCAGAATATTTAATGTGTCCTCTGATAATGGCATACAATCGGCATCGTCAAGTATCAAAACATCGTCCATACTGTTTTGCGTTGTTGGCGCCGCTCCCAAACCCGGCCCTGTCAGTACCTGACGCTGTGCATTGTCAGCTGGACTGGATGAATTCTGGTTTTTTCCCGCACATCTACTCGTCTCTCTCTACGTCGCCTCGACACGCTCGGTGATCGACTACGACTGATGCTACTCCGCGAACGGGACCTTGACAGTGTTGTTCTCGATAGATTTTGAATTGTGCAAAGATGTCAATAGAAATTGTGCATATTTCTTTAAAAATGTGCATGTATGATATCTGTATACTAATTTTCTGGCGCAGCCGCCAATTTCAAAAAACTGAAATTTCATGGAACCATTGACGTGGTCCCTGCCGCCAGGTTTTTCTTCCATGGTTTTCTGCTAAGTATATCTTATATTATATATAACGTGCTACTAGATGAGCAACAAAACAACCCATTGTTGTACCTACTTACCAACCGCACTAAACCGATTTGAAAAGGACTCGCGTATTTTACGTGTTTCCTAACGCACAAACAAGCCGGGCGACCGTACGGCTGTAACACCAAAAACCGAATGACTCAACGTGCAAGACCGGAGAACGACGGGACGGGAGCGGGGATCTCTTGTCTTTTAATTTGGTGTGCGGCTAGTAATCCAGGGCCGCACTACATAGTAAATAAACAAAGTGATGTCTTCGGAATGGACCTAAAGTATAATTGACCTTGCACCGATTATAACCACCAGTCCTTTATATGTGATGGTAGGAGATACCATCTGATGCTCTGTATGAATGATCAAAGTTCTTGTACAGCTTGAGGAACATGCATTCGTTTAGAGTTTAGATGATGTACATGACGTAGTATGTGGGGTCCAAAAGTACAATGAAACCCGAGGAACGATGTGGATACAAAGGATTGAGCTATAATAACTTAAAGCGTTCTTCGGCAAGATCACCAAAAAGTTCAGATAGAGAACTGCCCTACTGTAAAGAGAGCTTAGATTTACTCTCATAGCAATTTAAATATCTTGCTTGGATAGTAATAAGTTCGCCTCAGAGAAGATTTTCTATCTTATTGTGAGGAGACCTGAGGATGTCGAAAGCGATTCGAATACCATGACCAATTCAAGAAGATTTTGTATCCACTGATGAAAAGTTGAGTCAATCTAAAAAGATCCGAACTAATCTTTGTATTTGCATGTGGAGATGGCACGTTTCTGTGAAAAGTGTAAGAGATCCGAAGTCGCTTAAACTGTGGCGATGTTACGTATTTAGGCAATCAACAAAATGCCGCTTAGAAGTTTTCGAAATTCTACTTTCAGAGAGAGACGGAAGAACCGAATTTTACAAAAAAAATTTCTCGACTTTATTTGTAGTGGGATTTCAAAATAAATTGCACACTAACATTGCCACTTTCTCTTCTCTATGAGATGGCATACTTATAATTTCATTATGACGTTTCAGGTCTTGCCCTCCAGCATTACATTATTTTTTCTTATGGACGCCATATTGTTTTTTTTGCACAGATGAATAGAGTTTTTAAATCTGACTTCAGATGTCATAGATTAACATTACCAAAACTTAGTTATTTAAGAAAATCAGAAGTTCCTAGGTAGGCGTTGAAATTATCAGATTTCACATGTTTCATGTACCAAACCAGACCTCCAATTGAACATAGCGACAAAGTTTGGATGACTGGGAAAAAGAGAAACAAATCGAGCAGTGTACAATGTGCCTCTGTTTATTCATGATTATTATTATTACTACAATCAATAAAATTTTCATTTTGCGTTATGTTTGACCATATATTTTTATTTTCTTATAAATTTCAGTGAACAACCAACTCATGGCCAACTAAGTAAATACAGTACTGAATTCGAGATTGCAAATTGCATTTAAATATACTAAATTCCAATATAGCGTCCATATCCAAAAACAAAGTTGGTGATGGAAGTCGAAAGAAGGAATATAGAATGAAAATTTGATAACGCCATCTTGTAGAAGAGAATAATTAACACTGACAACATGTAATTTATTGAGATATCCTATCTTAAAAAGGGTCGGGAAGACATAAAAGTGATTTTGGGATAAATCTGGAATGCAAAACAAATGACTATCTGATAATTTCAATGCCTACCTAGGAAATTCTGCTTTTTATTTCTCTGGAATAACTAAGGTTTGGAAAAGTTAATGTATGACGTATTATACATTTTTGGAATCAAAATTAAAAATTCCATTCATATGTGCAAAATGCGATATGGCATCCATAAGAAAAAGTAAACTTGACGCTGGAGGACAAGAGACGAAATGACATATTGAAATTCTAATTGCGCGTTCATATAGAGGAGAAAAGGTAGTAATGTTAATGTGCAATTTATTTTGAAACTCCACCACAAATAAAGTCACTGAGAAATTAAAACGATTTTGTGAAAATTCTTTTTTTTCCGTCTCTCTCCGGGGGTACTTTGAATTTCGAAACTTTCTGAGCGGATTTTGTCAATTACCTTAATATGCAACTTCGCCCTCATTTAAGCGACTTCTTATCTCTTGCAGTTTCCGGGATCCCAATAATGAGGGTCGCATTTGAAAACCCCTATATAGCAGTGCTGTTATGCAGTTTTATATCCGTACTAGAACTGCGACTTTATAGCCCTTCTTGTAGTTGCTTCGTCACGTGACAACGGCCTTTTATTCATTTCTGTCGTTTTGGAGCTAGGTTCTAGTTCGTTTGAGGAGTGATGTGAGGCTTCGTAAGTTGCATTATTTAATCCTCGGCTGCCTTCTCTAGAAAGGGGGCTACAAGTGTAGTTATTTTCGTAGCTGGAATAGGTGGCTAAAAGAAATTTAGACCCTGGCAGAATTATGAGGTGTGTGTCTTAGCTGTAAAGAAAATATCGAATGTAAGTAATATGGTTCAACAGCTTTATTACGTAAAAAACCTACACAATGTCAAAAAAAAGTGACAAAATGTCAACTTGCTCGGTAGCTTTAAGTGTGCAAATAGTTCATCTCGCTATTGCCTTTTGTAAGCGCTGCGAGCGTCACCTTCAGCGTCATCTATGGAGCAACGACTCAAGGACATGCTCAACGACCATGCTGCAAGCCAACTCGCCAGCATGGTTGGTTGTGCGGTGATAGTGTGCATTGCATGGTCTTCGTGTATATAAAATCAGTGATATTTGTTAAGTGAGAAAATTATTACTGAACATACTGCCATTAAGTATATCTATTAGCTGTACCAGACGGGTCATTTGTGTTATCGTTTCTGAAGATAGGTTATGCTCAAAGTTATAAATTACGATTTTCCCGTTTTTTGCGTTTCATAATCTTTAAGAAGCCTTACGAAAAATCACCACCGTGCCCGCGTTGCACGTAATTTAGCCACGTCACAGAAAAATTAGGAAAATTGCATCGCACACAAAACATTTCCGCAGTGCCTCACGTCTAGGCCCTGATTTCTATTTTCTGTCATCGCTAAATAAATTTCTATAAAATATAAATTACTGGAAATAAAAAATAGTGTAATGTAAGAACCTTTTCACGCCTCAAACATTTTCTGTTTTTATCTCTCTCATTATTAAAATTCAGCAAATTTGCATATGTAATTTCCAGGATAAATAAGAAAAAGTGGATGTGCAACTAATTTCTAGCTTCGCTTAACGGGGTTTCCATACATGGCACTGGGCTTGTCTGTTGTCAGCTTTCAGATCTGAAATTGAAATATGATTAAAAATGTTACAGATACAGATCAAAACGCAACTTTACTATTTTGTAACATGAAATGAACCTCAGGTAATTCACTGACTAAATAAATTTTATTTTATACCCGTAAATTAGTTTCGTTCTTTCCTTTCATTCTCCCCCGTTTGTTCATCATGCTTGATATTTTCCTATACATATCAGCCTAATTTTAGCAATACATCTACACCGTCTTCAAACCGGGTGAAGCAAGCTCAATAAAATTAGCTCCAGTTTTTAATGTGTCACTTGTTCAAGAGAAAAGCATATTTTGGTTAGGGTGGGTGGAAAAATGGCGACCGCTCCCATAACGCATGGGTAGGGATCAAAGCCTGATCATGTGCGGTCTCTAGAAAATAAAGTATCGTTACCATAGCGCTAGTACCGCTACGTTGTCGTAAATTACTGATAATAAGTATGATATATGTGGGCTCTTAGTAGATTACATTCCGCAGTCAAAACCTCAAAAAAAAATTGGCTGCTACTTGCTAAGATTTTGAATGAAATGAGTCAAGATAGATGAGATTATCGATATTGATATGGTGGAAAAATATGTATGCTTTTTGCGGTGTTATCTAGTTAGGACTAGGAATAATCACAAACTAAAGCAATGAATAAACGTGAAAAACTAATCTTGCAATACGTACAGAGAAAGTAGAACGTTCATACAAAGTTTGCAAAGCTTTTCATAAGTAGCAAAATTAAAAGATAGTACACTAACCTTTCAACAACCGCTTAAGGCCATGTGATGGCAAACATTTTAGTGGTTTATGATCACTTTAGCATGTCACCAAATTCTGGGGACTAGAGGCTTCTAGACCTGCTAAAAATCAGTCGGACTAAAACGCAGAGTTAGATATTCATGACTGAAACACACTAACACAAGTTTTAGCCGCAGTGCTGTTCTTTTTCTCCGTAATAATCCAGCAGGAAGTTTTAAGGACATCCAAAGATTTCCAGTGACACCCAAGGAAACCTGAGCAAACAAGACCTTTGATTTCTGTAAAGTGTTAGGAGTTGGCGCCTGGCCCATTATCAACAAAATGGGTTGACTTATGTCAAAAAAAAGTCATAGGTTTGCTAGAAAATGTCACAGCTTCGCCTCTACTGTGAGAGAAATAGAGCGTAGCCGACATACAACTCTATTCTTATCCCATCGACTTTTTAGGGATAAAAATAGAGGCTACTCAAAGGTAAATCTAGCATGTGTCACACTGCTCGAACGCTATTTCTCCAAGAAAAGCAATACCGTTATAGAAACAAAAAAAGGTTTCAGCATATACCTGACCCTACGAGCTTTTCGAACGTATCAATAGACCGGTTATGGTCGGAATATTTTCTTCTTGAGGATCTGGGTATACGGGAAAGAAAAGGAAAGGAAACGTTGGAGGTAGACAGCGGTAACGTCTATAGGGGAACAAGGACTAATAAAAAAAGTTTGGATGTACGATTTGGTCATTCGCAAATCGGTGCCTACAGTGGTGCTACATAATGGCAAATGAGAATTTCTTGGAGAAGTTTCCCGAACAATATAAATCTCAAGCGAACCTTGGTGTTAGAATATGGCAGTTACCTCACTTAGTCTATCGACCAGCATAATAATACAGCCCTTTTGCAGTATTCGCACGTTTTATATACTATTGCCAAATCTTGGTTATTAAAAAAAAAAATTCCCGAGATAGGCCTTGAAATTATCAGATAGCCCTTCGTTTCATAAACCAGATTTATTGCAAATGTATTTTTTCACTGACTTTATTTGAGATGGGCTTTTAGATTTATATGGCGTAGTCATAATTGCAGTTCGTCGTTTCTTCTTTCAACTTCCATCACCAACTTTGTTTTTCACATTTGTATCCTATATCGGAATTTTTTACATTCAAATGAATTTTTCTGTTCGAAATTTTAGATGTATTTGCTTAGTTGGCCATGAATTTGTTGTTGCTATGACTATGAGAAGATAGTATGGTGAGACCTGAACACAAAATACATTTTTTTTTCATGGTAATAGAAATAATCATACTTAAACAGAGGTAAATCATAACATATGTTCAAAACGTTGTCGCTTATTTTGTAAGCAAAGCCTGGCTCTTATTCCAAACTCTGTTCAATTTGAGGCCTTCAAAACTGTACTATGCATAAATTGAACTTTTCATTTTCCTTATAATTTTCGTTCCAACAACAAACTAATGGCCAACTAAGGTAATACGTCACTTATTTTAGCAGTGAAAACTCTATTTAAATGTACAAAATTATTCCAATATAGCGTCTATTTGAAAAAAACAAAGTTGGTGGTGGAAGTCGAAAGAAGGTACCAGGAATTAAAATTTTGACTTCATCATTATGTAGAAATGTAGAAATTCAGGAAAAAAATGAAAATGATTATGCCATGAATCTGGTACTGTCACTTCCTGTATTTCGGTACCCTGTGGATCATCTTATTTTTGTTCTCAATGCTTACGTACCGTTCCGTTAGACACACACACACACACACCCTCCTACCTTGTGCGGTTCCTCCACCACCCCTGTTCCAGGCAACCTCAAACCCTTGAGGAGTGGGGGGAAGAGCAATCTGCTCCTCCCTCCTCTCCCGCCCGAAGGCCTGGCGTGTCGCTGCGTGGTTCAGGCCGCTGCGCGTTCCCGGAGTGTGTGCTGCCGAGCGAGCTAACCCCCCTCCCCAATTTTGCCCCTTTTTCCCGAAATTTGACTCGATCGCGCACGCGTCGCGGAAGCACGTGGTGGACGTTTCATCCAACTGTCGGTTCTCGACTTTTATGAACGGCCTCTTTCTTGGGGGTCCTGCGCTGGGGCCTTTGACCTAAGCCCCGCATTAAGGTTGGTGAGCCTTCGCTCTTTCCTCGTTGACTGGAGTCAGTCAGTCAGTCATTTGCTGATTGTCTTCGTCTCCTGAGGTTAGCCCCGAGTCCGTGATTGACTCTGGCCACCTCAATCGACAGGCTTCTTTTTGTCCACCCATTGTACACGGGCTGTTCTTTCCTCTCTTGGGTGTACAACTATTGTCAGTCTTCTCCCCTTTTCTTTGGCCTCATCAGCTGCTAGGGCCAAATTTCTTCTAGCTGCAGCAGGCTTTTCGGTCTTTTATGACGCCTGACTGTTCTTGGGGCGTAATCCAAGGCGTCTTTAATCAGCACATTTCGATGTCTTTCGTTCTTTTCAAAGAACCTTCGGGCCCTCTCTTTCATCTGGATTACGACCGGTACCTGTCGTAGTTCGTCATATAGCACACTGTAGGTACATACCATGGTGCGTTCGCCGCCTCACGGAGTGCTATGTTTTGTTGGGCTTGGAGCCTCTTCTTCATCGTTTTGGAAATGTTGCCCCAAGCTACTGCTGCGTAAGTCATGATTTGGAGCAGCACCATTTGAATCATGATCGTCTTATTCTTTAAGGACACTTTGCTTCTCCTGCCTATTAAATGTCTTAGTTTGGAGCGTGCCATCTTCACTTTCTGCACCTGGCCCTCGACATGGTTCTTCCAAGTGAGTTTTTGGTCCATCTTGACTCCAAGGTACGTGCTGGAGTCCTTCCAATCGATCTCCGTTAGATTCACTTGCATACACTATAAATATGTGCAATGCGCCAGTGTCACTCGACAGTGGTCGATGTACGGCAGCCTTTTTCAGTTCCCATTTGGGGGGGGGGGGATGGAGGATGCCTGTCGGTTGTATATGGTCGAGTGACAGTGTCGTACAACACAAACAACGTGCATAAGGGGCCATTACCCCGTTATCTGTCGACGCTACTGACCTTCAACTCAGATCTTTGACAATGATCCTCCAAAGGGGAGTTGTATTTTTATGTACATTTCATAGTGGCCTGCGTCCATTTCGTGAAAATTCGATATGAAACCCCGTCCAAAGTATACAAAGTACTAATAGTAGGGTCACTCAGTGATTAACCGAGTTTTTCTCACATACTACCTGCCTGACGAAACAATGTAAAAGGGAAAACTGTGTGGGATATAGCAGAACCGAATAAGTATGTTGATGTTGCTTAAGAAACTGTCGTCGCTGTCAGATCGTCCCACTAACTTGATCTTTAAGGATTTTTTCGCGAGTCCACGGTGTAGCACAGTGCACTACCGGGAACCGATACTCAAATTTTTGCGAAGAACGGGAATAGGGGAAGACAGATGTGACGTCGCCCAAATGTCAAAAAATCACATGGTACGGGTACCCGCCTAACGTCTGCTTGGTGCTAGTGGGTGACAGGTCTTATGTCAATGTCATTTAAAAAACAGGCATCTCAATTGAAAATTTGTCTTCGCAGCGCAGAAAATTGAGTTAAATTATTAAATCATAAATGGAGGAACACGCCCACCTGATTTTAAATGACGAGCGAGGTAGTCATCGAAGATATGTGAACCGCAGTCCAGTCCAGGTTTGCTCACTAGGATCGTTGTGAACGTCCATCTATCGAGGAATCACACGCATTGTTGGTTGCATATGTTTTGTGAAGCCGAGTGGTCTGTAGTTTTCATCTCTGAGAAGACAGCTGGTTGAATAGCAAGATCGCATCTGGATGATTATGTGTATTGTTCTGCATGTGTATAAAATCAGTGATATTTGCTGTGTGAGAAAATCATTATTGAATATGCTGCCAATGAAGTATATCTATTAGCTGGGCGAAACGGGCTATTTGTAGGTTGTCCTTTCTGAAGACCGGGTACTCGTACGTTCAAAGTTATAAATTACGAAAAGCTTTGATGAGAGTTATGGGAAATCATCACCGCGCCCGCAATGTGTGTAATTACTTTAGCATGTATATGGCTAGTAATTCGACAGTGTACAGAGCATATTATTATTTGTTATCTCTCTCATTTTTTAAATTCAGCAAATTTGCATATTTAATTTTCAGAATGGATAAGAAAAAGTGGATGCGTAGTTAATTTCTAGCTTTGAAGCTCAAGTAAGTGTATTTGAGACAAGCATCCAATGAAATTATCATCAACACATACACAAGTTACAGCTTGGAACTCCAGTAATGCCATTTCTGAAGCAGATTTTACATCACATCAGAGCTAAACATTGATAACTGAAGCCTCATGACGTTTAGGCAACACGTACAAAACGAGCTCACAACGTGTCCAACAGCTAGTGCTAACATCTTGTAGAAAAACCTACATAATGTCAAAAAAAAGGTCGTCTCTGCGTAATATCGCTTGTTATTTGTTAGAGTAATCACTTGTGAACAGGTTTGACGTATATTTGATGAGTGATAATTGTTTATTTATTTTTTAATTATTTATACACCATGCGAAGGGTTTGTTACACCAATCAACGCCTAGGGACACAGGAATCAATTTCAAGATGTAAAAAGGTTTGTAAAATACCTTAAAATTACCAAACGACTTAACCAACAGTTATGTACAATCTTTTTGAACTGAACTGAATTAACAAAAGACAGATCTACAGCATTAAGGCCCGTATCGTCAGTCGTCCTTACAATTGTAGGGCGCGTTTATGGCCTCCTTGATTGTCATACTCCTTTCTCTCCTTCAAAAATTTCTAGATTACACTTGTCCAGTGTCAGCGTCAGCGCTCTCCTATTGTGAAGATATCTTTTCTTTTTAAATTGTAGGAAATTTCAGGCTGATAAAACATGATATAACTCAAAAGCAACCACAATTTGATGCAAATAGATGTTTGTGACATAACCTCAAAATAGTGCGCTGACACGGAGAAGTAGAAAACTATGACAATCAAGGAGGCCATGAAGGCGCCCTACAATTGTAGGGACGACTGACGATACGGGCCTTACTCGCAAAATGTGCTGTAATTTTGTTGCTAGCGTTTATAAAAAATATAAAGTGATCCACCTATTGGAGGTCTGTAAACCTTGCCGAACGAAACGGCTCCGCGCGGATTGCGGTTGCTTACCGAGTAGCACGTACTGAAAAATGTCACATGTTTCGCAGGGATTGCGGTAACTGGCGATTGCGAAGGATATCTATGGTGGCCGAGGGGCGTCGGATTTATGAGTATATCCTATATGATATATTTAGACAGATATAGACACACCTACGTAGATATATCT